GAGAGAGAGAGAGAGAGGCAGTGTGGGCTAGTGGTTAGAGCTGAGGGAGGAATTTACACGAATTATTTTAGACTAAAGACCTGCCTGGAAAATAAGATCAAAGGGCATTGTGACTGCAGGTCAGTCAGCGTACACAGTGCAGAGACTGAAGTCTCAGAAAGGCTCAGGAGTGACGCATGCAGTGTGAGTCACTCCCAGTTAACGAACTAACAAAGTTACAAACCAAGTGGTTCCTTTCTGGTCTCTGTGATCAGATCTCTCCCTTTTCTGTGCTCGGGAGTGACTGTGGGTGTTTTCAGGGAGGTGGCGAAGGAAAACTCAGAGGGGAACTTCGCTGGGAGGGACAGGCGTTCAAGTAGTCTGCAGGACAGCATTGCAGGAGGAGATCCTTGGACCAACTAATTACTAAACGGACTGAGTAGCTTCCTCTCGTCTGGGAGGATCGTTCATTGAGAATAATTTCGGGTTCCTGACACAGCGACCTGTCAGACAGCACGGGGTGCGGACTAACGAGCCCAACATGCTCGAGTTGATCCCACTGATCGCAGCTCTTTTACTACAGTGCCAGTCAGAAATCATCTCAAGATCTTTAGATATCGTGGATTACAATATGCTTATCAAACTAACTCGCGCCTCATCCATACAGTTCAGTAGTTTTCCTTTAGATTCCAGCAGTCTCACAGGGCTTTTGCAGGAAATAATTGGCCTTTCGCAGGAAATGCAGGAAACGGCCTGTGCATTTGCTTCAGGTTGGGATAGGGCTGTCCTCCAGTTTGTCACAGCAGGGAGATATCTCCACACAGTGCCAAGGGCAGAAAGGGACATTATTTTAAATTCAGACTTGACATACGTGGAGCAACTGCAACAAAACTCCAAGCTCAAAACAGAGGAGGCACAAACACTGGCACATACAGTATATTTTGCAGGTGCATCACGCAGGGGTTGACATGATACTAATTGGACCCGGGGACAGACATTCTGAAGAACAGCTGGACAGTTCCACCATTTTGGGGGCTTATTGTAAATGTCAGAGCTCTGAATACAGCGGGAGCGCAGGTCAGGCTTTTTCCCCAGTGACAAACGAGCGCTGCCGCCCAGCCAGGACATGACTCAGCAAGCGTCGTGTCAGAAGTCTCGGCCGGGGCTCGGAGCAGCGGCTCGCTGTTCAGCAGGCCGCCCCTGGAGAAAGCTGGTGACAGGCTCGCTGCAGGGGGCAGTTCGCAAAGGCACGGGCAGCAGACAGTGTGGCCACACGGCACACGGCCAGGCTCTCCTTAGGAACAGAAACAGTTTGTTGGAAATTGGGCCAATGCACGAACTTTGTTTTTTCTAACAGAACTGAGGGTTTAGAGCCCTTGTCTTTCCTTGCATGAAGACGGGCGCTGCCCTAAGGCCTTTGACCGTGTTTTGCAAAAGTAACGTGGTGTTTGATTGTAAAAGCCTCTTCTGACAGGGCTGGGGATGGGCTGCAAGATTAAATTCCTTCCCGAGCAGCTAGCTGTCCGAGCCAAAGCTTCTCTCAGTTTCCGTAGTGCTGAACAAGCGGAATTCTCTGGCTGGAATTCTGGCCCGTCAGAGGTCCAGCAGCTGTCCTGCTTGTGTATTTATACGGCCGTCCGTGCTCCGTCCACACTCTCGGACCCTCTTCCACCTGTCCCCCGACATCACAGAACTTGGGGTGCAAGGCGTGGGTACACTCTGGACAGGACGGCAGGGGAGTGCAAGACAATTACACTCACACGAACACGCACACACGCACACACACACACACTCGCACTCATCTGCTCAGCCCTTGTGTCTCTGGAAGACGGCAGGACAGCGGAGCTCTGGGAGAAAATCCACACAGACACAGAGATCATACTGAAGCAGGGAGCGGTTTGGGAAAAAAAGATGTGTAAGTGAAGATAAAGTAGCTTAGTTTGCGTTTTCTAAAAGGATATAGTGGGATTAACACTGTGCCATCTGCTATTGACTAAACCGAACAGAGGGGACCGGGATAAAAAGTTGTAAGTTGTAAGCGAAGTCAGACCATTTCTCTCTGCTCAGCTGCCTACTGGGGATACCCCCACACTGAGCAGGAAGTAGAACCTCATTTCCTGTTGCCTTAGTTGACACAGATTCTGTTCGTTCAGACAGGAAGGAGTGCTCGTGGTGGCTCCTTCTAGGACAAACGGAGAATCCTTTGCGGATATTCTGGAAAACAAGTTAGCCGCTGCCGACCGAGGGAACAGCCACAAGTCTGTAGCTGTGGAGTGCGGGAGGGTTAACGATGTCACCGGCCGGGCAGGGGGTGATGAAGATCAGATTGCAGGACACGGACAGGTCCAGTCTGAGCTGCCCGTGGGTCTCGTTTGGCCTCTGTGTCTGTCTGTCGGTGTGTGAGCTGAGTTGCGGGAGTTCGCAGGGAGGTGTAAGGGCCGGACAGCTTTCTGAGACGAGGCTTTAGGGTGGAGAAGGGACTGTGCTGGGGAGAGATGGGGGTGGGACACTAACATCTGCTTACCAGAAAGTGATGCTGTTTCCTGTACTGTGCGTTCGCTCTTACTTTATTTCTGTCCCCGTCGGTTGCAAAAAGCAAAAAATGGAAAAAGCCGATGAAAGGTCCTACTCACGTGTGAAAAATAAAAGAGCAAGACAAGAAATGAGAATCCTAGTTTACACTCTGGTGGCCTTGTGTGAAAGGAACCAGACCTCCTCTCCAACGGGTCTCTCTGTCGTGTGTTGCAGCTCTCCCTGGTCGCCGTGACCGGACCGCAGAGGCGCGGGGACCAGCCAGCACGCTCTAGGAGCGCGCCGCTGGGGGACTGTGGACTTGCGAAGACTGATTTTCCTTGTGGGAGGGGGGAAGCTTAATGGAAGAAAAAAAAATCACCTCTCGCCTTTCAGGACGGCGTCCGAGACGCAGCAGGAGCGACACACGTTTGCCGAAAGCAGGAGGCAGTGGACTGTGCAGGAGCCTCTCTGAGACACTGTCCTCAGCGGGGAGCTGGGGGGCGCGAGGGGCTCTGGGGTTTTGAAGACTGTGGGGGTCTAATGTGGACTGGGGAGGGGGGGTAGTTTGGGCGGAGTGGAGGTGTGGGGGGTGGGGGTGGGGTGGGTTTTATAAAAAGAAATGCCTATTTGAACTTTTTTGTAAACAGAAACAAAAAAGACCGTCTCTTCAGGCATACTATCTTTTGTAAATGAACTGTGACCGCTGTACAATTTGATGTGTATTATACGGACAAGGGGCTGCTTCGCGGGGGAGAGAACGAGACTGACCATTGACTTTGCACCACGCATGTGAGTGTGAGTGTGTGTGTGGGGGGGTGGGGGATCGGGGGGGGGCGGGGAGGTTCAGCTGATGGATATTTGAGTGAAAACCACAAATGCCTGAAACTCTTTAAAATTCCTCTTCCTTCCTTAGGAAATTCCGGTTTCATTCCGGTTGTCCTTCATTGTGCTGTCTGTTGTGTCTTGCTGCTGGGCAGAATCTCCTGGTCTGGGTAGAGCCTGCTGTGCACTGCGCTGAGCAGCACTACCGCGATCGCCTTCTCCATCGCCATACACAGGTCTCTGCTGAGATGCATGAGGCCCTGTGACACATATCACGATACATGGGCTCTATCGTGATCCATAATGCTGCGCACCCTCCTGGCGCGATGTAGAGTTGGTCTGTGGCGCTACACTAGAGCTGTGATTGGAGGAGCTCTGTCTGCAGGGACGGGCCATGCATGAGCCTTCCGTCCCGCCTTGTCGCCTTGCTTGACGATACGAGCTGCCAAGGAACAGGCGTCGCAGCTCGTCTGGCTCGCCTCGGCGCGGCAGGCTGCCTGCAGCCAGGCTAACACGCCCCTGGGCTGGGCCTGCGAGCACAGGCCGTGCGAACTCCGCGGGCCTGAGGCCTGAGGCCGGGCCTGTCTCTCGCAGACGGGAAGAGGAGCCGTGTTCATCAGGGCCAATCCCACAAAAAACTAGGGAGGCAGGAGGGCCAGTCTGCAAGCCGAGACGGTGTGTGTGCGCGCATGCCCCACTGCCAGCTCTGCCGCGCTGATGGGTTTCAAGCCCTAAAGAGCAGCTTGCCTGAAGCATCCAGTCGTGCCCTGGCGTTGAGGACACAGCTGGGTGAGATCCTGGGATCAGTTATCACCTGATACAGACGGGCCGAGTGGAGCCGTTATTATGTTCTTCAGCAGAAAGAGAACTGGACATTTTACTATATAACAGAACCCATGTGCGCTCATCCCTCCCCTACAGTCTTTATTTCAGACAGCACTTCACAGTGGCTCCAGCAGACCTGGGCTCACCTCCAGCAGGTGGACACCTGTTTTCTCCACGGGGGTGTTTGCTTGAACAGCGGAGGATGTTGATTTTAAATCTTGTCACCTTTATGTCTCTTTCAGAGAATCAGAAGTATGTTCAGAATGATATGTGCTGTGGTCAGTGTTAACATTTCCTTTATATTGGACTAGCATGGCTGTTCAACCTGCAGGCTTTTGGTTTCATTCAGTTTCAGTTTTCTTTAAGGATGGCTCCATAGCTCACCGCTGGGCTAGCAAGAGCAGAGTCCTTTGTGGGGTGCTTCTGTGCATGCTTAGCTTGTTTAGGGGAACACTACACAGACACTATCTAGAGTGCCCACACAACACCCCCATTCCCACATTCTGAATTTATTGAGTAGGAGCTGTGCGTTGACATTTGGTCTCTAGCCAGACAACAGGTAAAAGACGAAGGAGCTCACTGGGAGCTTCGCGAGGTGTCAGACCAAGAGGCAGGAGGCGGGAGAAGGAATGAGCCAAACCAGAGACCAGATGCGTTTACAGCCAAGCCACTCGGGCCGAAGCTGGAATTTCTAACGAGGGGTATTTAAAGAGCAGGCCTGCAGTGCAGGAGTCGGCAGGAGCCGAGCTGCTTCAGTGCAGCAGAGCTTGTCAGGGCAAAAGCCTGGCAAATGTAGCTGCCAGGAAGAGGGATTAAAGGACAAAATAGTGTTGGGTTTTGTGGGAATGTGGGAAATAACAGAAGAGGCCTCTTCATTGGCAACAGCAGCATTCCTCAAGGAGACTGTAGACGACGCAGGACAGAATTTCAGCAGGCCCAGCCCGCTCACTGTATTCTGCCTGTAGTGTTAGGTCGTATGGATGAGGTCCTTATCGAGCCGGGCAAGATAGAAGTTGCCTCTGTTTACCTGGGCGGGGATCCTGCCATCCGCAAGTCTGCCAGCTCTTCACCACGATGTCACTGGTCCCTCCTAGGAGGGGGCTGGCCGCAGGGCTCCTGGCTCTCTGAGAGGGCGTGGCTGTGTGAACCAGCCAGAGGGACTCGCGCAGGCCTCAGAGGGGTTTACACTGGGCAGGGCACTCCTCCTCCTTCAAGCAATAGTCCATAACCTGGCATCCAACCCACAGCAGTGTACTGAAGGGCTTCTGCCACTTCCTGTCCACCGAGCCCCCCCGGGCGCTGCGGGCTGGACGAGGTCGCGCAGTGGAGGCGGAATTCTGCGTGATGACCAGCCAATTCCAGCCCCGAGGGTCTCTGACCCCTCGCCACACAGACACGCTTCCTAAGGACTCGGAGCGATCTCTGCAAAGTGACGTTTAATCAGGAACACTTTTCAACCCGTTTGCGCTCAACAGTTTCTAGGGTCGCTTTTGAAACCTTTGTAGTGACATTCAGAAAACGAGGGGCCAATTCTGATTTAAAGAAGTAAACGTTTTAATCGGCCTCTCCTCCTACATGGCTACTCCAAATTTTGTGGACGTCATATTTATACAACACACACAACAGTGTTTTCCTCCAAGGCTGCAGTACGGATTTGTGTATGCCAAAACACAAACTCTCTTCAAACTAATAATATGGGCATCCATTTTCTGGTATTTTAAACTTTTGAAAACAAGAAACAAAAACTGCTCTTATTTATGCACAACCATCTTCCAGTTTTACAGGAGAATCTGTCTTCTGCTCTTTTTTTAATGCTTCAGTTTCCTATTTTTTCCTCTCCCAGCAGTAGTTGCATTTTTGAAAAAAAAAGAGTTTCAGGGTCTGTTTGTGGTTAATGAGAAAAAAAACTAATTTCAGATCTGTAACAATTTAAAAGAAAAAGTTGGGGAAAGAGTTGGGTTCACGTTTGGGAGACAGTTTTCTGTACATTTGAAGTGTTTTTTTTCCAACTTGACAATAAAAAGTCTACTTTTGATGCATTCCTGAGTTTGTACTGTGTAAGATATATACTCGATCATCAAAAGAAACCAGTTAAAAATTGCAAAACATTCACAGTTATCAAGGAAATGGCTTTTCCCAGGTTTCAACACATTAAAGCGCTGCATCACCAGAACACGATAAGCTCTCACTGCTGAGGCGATCTAGAGTTCATGCAGCAGTCAGAGTCACTGTCAATCTGGAGTGACCAATTCATCACACTGGTGCCGGAGTCTTCTCAGCAATATCCATAATTCATTTACTTTGATTTGCTACAGGCATGCACGGATAGATAGATACTTTATTGATCCCGTGAGGGAAAGTGAGGGATAATGACTGGTGGTGGTTTTTTCTCAGTATGTGGGCCCACTTGAAGTTTGACCAGCCGGAATGTGAGTCAGGGCCTCGTGTTTCTCTCGGCTGACGGGTGACCAGCAGCTGCTCGGTGTTCCAGTGTGGCCGTGTGGAGATACGGCCGAGCTGCCACACAGCAAGAGGCCCGTTAGGGCAGCTTCGCCCAGAGCCCGTGGGCCTGTGCTGCCAGAACACAAGCCGGGCCTGGCCAAAGCACACCACCAAGCCCTCATCCTCACTGGCTGGACAACGTGCAGGGTCCGGTCTTGTCCTCCCTCGTGTGTCAGTGGGAGAGAGCCACTTCGCTGGCGTAGTGGGACTCCAGGCACCGACAGTGACCAGTGGGATACATGAGCCCCCAGCTACACCTGGTGCTGCTGCTCCTCACGATCAGGAGATCTGTGCTCCTCTGGCGGTCATCCATGTGTCACAGGCGTCCAGTACTATAATGCTCAAGCACACAAAACATGTCGTCGTCTTCAAGGATAATTGGCACAGCTTTGTAGGTGCAGATTGACCTCTCTCTTGCAGTGGCTGATGAATGTGACGAGAGTGGGGTGACAGGGTCAAGATGGTATCTGGTCAGTGATCACATCACTCCTCCAGCACTGGGGGCACGTCAGTTTTCTCCCTGTTGCTGCTTTTACAAAGTGCGAGTTACAGGTCTGAAGAGTCTGTGAGTGTGATCGTCTCTGTGTGAGCATGATCATCTTCGTGTAAGTCTGTGTCTCTGTCTCTGTGTAAGTGCGTGTCTGTGTCTCTGAGCCAGTGTGTCTGTCTCTGTGTAAGTGCGTGTCTGTGTCTCTGAGCCAGTGTTTCTGTCTCTGTGTAAGTGTGTGTCTCAGTGCCAGTGTTTCCATCTCTGTGTCACTGTGACTGTCTCTGTGTAAGTGTGTGTTTCGGTGCCAGTGTGACTGCCTCTGTGTAAGCTGTGTGCTATGTACAGTAATGCGTGTCTCTGTCTGTGGAGCTGCGCTCATGCATCACTGCCAAGAGCCATCTGCAGACACAAATGAGGTCACTTCCTCTCCCTCCTGGTGAGTGAGCAGCAGCCGAAGAGGAACTTGCAGATCTGTGCAAAAGCCACACAGTGTATGAAAACATGGGAAAAGGCAACATGAAAAAAAATCACTTCCATAGGCAAGAATGTTAATAATTAAAACTTTCAGCTGTTTCACTGATGATCCACTGAAGTTTCATTAATGTGTTTTGATAAAGATCAAAACTGCAAACTCATGTAACAATGTTTGAAGTAAAAAGTGAACCTGTACTTGAAGTGCAGTTTCTGTCACTAGCAGAGCCACAATCCCAGAGAGTCTCTAACTCACTGCAGAGGACACAGAAACAGGACGTCCCCCAAGGACTGCTGGAGCCAGGAGATGGGCTGACTGCCTTCTGAGAGGACTCTGGTGCTAGAACACCACTTGTCTGAGTGCTGGCAGGAGTCTGGACCGGGGTGGTCTTGAGAGCATCGAAGGCAGAGAGGCATAGCAGCAGCCTCAGGGCTCGAGTGGGTTTGAAAGCTGCCTGTGGGAGATGGAGCTGGACGATGATCTGAGAAGAAAGTGCTGACATCACAATCGTACACACGAGCGACAGCGAGACCATGAAGGGTTCTAGTCACGTTCAACAACACAGATCAGCCAACAGGAGCCGTCAGCAGGTCCACTGTAGGTCTATCGAACCCCTGCAGTGTTCCTGCGCTTAACCTGCCCTGAGGCGATGACAGTGTCAGATCACAGCCACCTGCAACACAAGCTGGGGGCACAGGGAGACTTTCAGCTCTGTTCAGTCCCAGGCAGAGCTGGAGCTTGCAGACCCAGCTGCAGAGAGCTTCATCTTCAGCCCTTGGTGATGAGATCTTGCTGCCACTGGCTGGGATCACTCACTCCCTCTTCTCAGGAACGCACCCCTGACCCAACACAAATCGCCCCAGTCCTGTCAGGCACTCGTGACCCCTGACCCCTGACCAGCCCACAAACCCGAACCTGATTCCTCTGACAGCACAGGGTCAGACTGCGATGGACAGAATAGCAAGTTTGGAACCTGGAGCCCATTGCTGAAGAATAGGGAAGCAGTGTGGGCTAGTGGTTAGAGCTGAGGCACTGGGAGAGAGAGAGGGAGGCAGTGTGGGCTAGTGGTTAGAGCTGAGGCACTGGGAGAGAGATAGGGAGGCAGTGTGGGCTAGTGGTTAGAGCTGAGGCACTGGGAGAGAGAGAGGGAGGCAGTGTGGGCTAGTGGTTAGAGCTGAGGCACTGG